TGAATCTACGATACGCTATTTTGAGTTGGGGAAGTACCGCATATTGTCATTTGCGGCCTCTGGATATACGGCAAAAAAGAATGTTGAAATTAATATCTGGCAAAAAAATTACTTATCCTTCTGATAAATTATTTTCAGAGACTGGAGTGTTTGACTTAAGGCAACTGTTTCTGCATGAATTAATTCAATTCATATACAAACACAAAAACAACTTCAATAAAACTAGCCACGCTTATAGTACTAGATATAAAGAAAACGAAAACTTAAAAATACAAACTTTTCAAAGAAATGTAAGCTTGCAATGCCACACCTACCTATAATGTAAAATTTATAATTGTTTGCCATACGTGTACCGTATGTATGTTGATAAAATAAACTCATTGTCTTTGATAAAATCTTTATTTAAAAAATATATTTTTTTAATTGGTAGACAAGAGACACGGAATCTAGTAGAAATTATTTACTATAAATCGTACTACGCTTTTATTACTCCTCACCACCCTCCCCACCCTCCGTATTTCTGTAGTTAGTGGAATAAACTTTATTATATAAGTGCCACTCCTTCTTACCTTCCATACCTACAATGTGCTTGTTGTATAAAATACTGCTCTAAGCAAAATTAATTATCAAAATTATATCAAAAAAAAATCTGCCCGTGCACAACCAACTCTTTTGGTATCAATGGGCTTTACAAGACAATTTAAAAATTTTCCGTGACTTATAAAACATGTTAACTTAAGATTATATTATGAAAGTGAGGTATTATGTTTTATTTTACGTTTATTATTGTACTGAAGTTAGCATTTGTATTTATTAACACATTGTATTTTGGGGAAAAAATAAACGTATGCTACTACTACTACTACTCAAGAATAAATTTTAAATCTGTCACACAACCCTTATAAAGAATTTCCCCATTGTGTCTGGTGGCGATTACCACTTACGCCACTTCACTGTACTGCCGAACCATACGTTAATGCCAATAAATTTCTATGATTACAGTTACAAAATATACTATTGAGCACGCTATTTAATAAAAATAATTGTTTTTTCACTTTAATATGAATTACATTTTCTAAGAATAAAGGCAGTAAAATAATTTATCAAGTTAAAAAAGCATTGGCCTTCAACCTATGCTGGTCTTATTCTCTGTATCATACAACTACTGCCTTTATATCATTCATAACCTGTACATGCTGTTTTTAGCTTATTTATTTGAATATTTTTGCTGAGTGTAATTATTCAATATAACATTGAATTGTTAGTTGTTGAGAAAATTTACATTTTTGCCATTTTTGTAAGCTTCAATATGAAGAAATTATTTTAACATAAAACAAAATTCTACGTTATTGCGTTTTCCCTTTGAATGAATAATATACATAGATCATGAAAACTACGAATAAACGCCGTAAATTTGTATTTGCAGAGTAGCAGTAAATCATAATGTTACTGCTTTTTGATTTACGACAATTGAAGGCAGAATGTCATTTATTTTAGGCCTCCTCAATAATTGACCCGAAATCACATTTAAACGGCTCTCCCTGAAGTTATGTGATTTTGCTATATTCATTTACTTTTGTTGCGAGTTAATACCACTTATTGAGTTTGAAAGGATCCGGGATCTTGAACTCGAATTTCTCAGAATTCAATTACTACCCTTTACTTTCTTGTATCTAAGAATGGCAGTATAGTTATTTTACGGTTTTTGGCGGTTCCCTCGCAATGCCGAGATTGACTAACGGTCCCATGTGCGTAGCTTGACTACCCCAAACAAAACTGTACACCATGCAAGCCGATTCGTAACGTAGCTGCTACTCACTCCTGCGCACACACAAGAATTGGGTGACAGTTTGTTGTTTCCCGTCATTTTCTAAAAATGCCTCTGATACAGACTGTCGAAATCGGAGTTGTATCTTCAGGCACTACTATGTTCTGTATCGAAGATCAACTTGATTAAACACTGATTACACGCCCATGACGAGCAAGTGGTCGTTCTGACGGTGGCAAGCTTAAATGTGGCAGACTGATGCGTTGAAAAGAACATTTTCATGGCGGTGAGACAAGAGTAGAAAACGTATGTCTTTAAGTATGTGTGAGAGAGATAGATGTATGGAAAAAAATCCTATAGTTTCACTGTTACCTGACAGAAACCGTGAAATATGATTCTTTCCAAAGCGTCAATAGGTCACTTAATCCAAAGGCTTGTCAGCAGTACCAGTTAAAAGTGCTAAAGCCTCGAAAACCAATTGGTGCTTGTACTTCAGGAATGCCGTCTTCAGCAGATGCTTATTATGTTAGTTATTTATATAATATCCAACAGGTGAGCTAAGGCAAAACTTTCTCAGAGTAACCGCAACCAATATGTCATTAAGCATTAAGAAAATTTAGAATATCATGGAGAAATATTTGGTTAATAATCTGGGGCTACAACTAAACCTATGGAAAAGGTAACCCAGTCGTAGTGCAGCATGTTGTGTGGCTATATGTAGGTATATTTCGGCTGTACCTCAGCAATATTATCTGCAATGCTTAAGTACATTTACTTTTCAGAATTTCTCATCAGAACGGCTGCAAAATCAGGCAAGAATGACTGACGAAATTGTATGCATCGCAGCAGCTTATACGAATATTACTGACATTACATTAAGCAGGGCTTATACAGTTAAAAAATCTGGCAGCGACTTGTGGAAATAGGTCAAAAATGACAAAAATGTGCAGCAATACTTAGGCTGTACCAAAAGTGTTGTCGTATGTTGTTGATTGCCTTAATGTATTCAGATAAGGCAGAAGAAAGAATTGACAATTAGAAGCGCCATTATGAAATTTTAAGACAGTTGTACTTTATGCTACTTCTTCAGGGCCTTTTGGTTCTGGACTCAAAAAACCATTGCAAAAATTCCTTCATACTAGGACTTGCTCCAGCTACTTTCCTGTACAAGGGGCTATTGTGATCAAAAATATTTTGAAATTAGAGACATTGTACTATATTTCCAAGGATATATCGGTATATATGTAGATCATCTAGCGTATGTATGTCCTGTAAGTCTCTTTCCTTTCATAATTTGACTCGAATTATGACACGCACTCCACATTCAGAGAAAGGCAGATTTTGAATATCTGTCTAATATCAGCAAAGCTAAGAGCGGAGACCCATCCTGATGGTTGAGAGCTCATTTTCATCACTGCTGCTTTTTCGTCATTTATCAGTGAACGGCGTTGCCAAAGAAAAAGAAAATAACGTTCGAGGTCCTTAGAGATTTTTAAGCTAGGCCGGTCTGCTATTTCCTCTTTCAGACTTTTCGGCCCCATGATATTTGTATACGTGATTTTATTCATCACTTCTTAGATACCCTGTTTTTACAAAATAGTTTGTCTCTCACTACCTCTACCTCCTTCTGGCAGAGATGAATAAGTATGAGCTTTGTTTGGTAGTCTTGACACAAGTATAATTAATGGCCTCCAATGAGATTCAAACTTTTCTATCTAAGCAAAAATTACATAATGCGCCGCCTATGAAATGCGTAGGGTGTGGTTCGTATACGGGGGTGAGAGCAAACTGGAGCTGCACGCGGCTGCCGATATTTAGGGCTTCGGTCTAGAGTAAATACTTGATGAAAGGAACAATACCCCCTTGGTCGTGTGGCATCCGATGTTTTATAGCAGACCACAGTCAGATTGTATGGGTTGTCAACAAATAAGTATGTTCGATTTGTTTCAACCAGCTCAAAGCTATAGAATTTGAATAGTTGTACTAATTAATTATACGGTGGAAGCGTTTCAACAGTTGTCAGCTTTTGCAATATTTTTCTTTTCCTATATATCCTCGCAGTCATTGCGTTTGATATTTTTATTATATGTACACTGAATTACCGAATTGTAGAAATGGGACTCGATCCTAAATGTGTTTCGACCGCTGAAATTGATTCCGATGGCGCCGTGTGACGATATACTTGATTTGCTATGATAAATTTGACATTTGATTATATTGATCTTCTATAGTCAGATTATTACGGCAGTGTAAAAATTATCATAGCTAATCAAGTATATCGTCACAAAGCGTCATCGAAATCAATGTCAACGGTCGAAACTCATTTTGAATCAAGCCCCTGACGTTGAAGCTAAAATTGATCTCTGGTGATCCTCATCCCGATGAAGTACTAAATTCTGAAATATTCCACAAGCTATGTGCTTAATCGATCTCGATGCTTACAAATAGATCAGCTGTTACTGTCCATGCCAATTGGCGAGGAAGTATTGTCGTCGCGAAAAATTTCGGTAAGTGGATTCTAACGTACATGCCATGTACATCGCGAAAACCTTTTTCGTCAGTCTGCCTTTCCGTCTGTCGGTCGGTCAGTCTACCCGTTGGTCCGCTAATCATTGGCTTCTCCATCACTTAACTGGGAAATCACCGTTCGTATTTTGAGGAAAATTGTGTACAAATTCTTAAGATTAGGAGATGTTAGGCTCTGTAAAATATATCAAAGCTAAACAAACCCTAATCCTACTGCACCTCGATCAGATCAAAGGTGAACTCAATCCAGGCGCGAACCGCATTGGTAAATAAAAAAAATTACCCATCGGTTCTAAAAAAAAAAAAAACAGAACAAAAACGGCACTCATACAGGAATAGCGAAGCTATCCATTATATTTTAATTTTTGGTGAGTATCTTAGAAATGCTACTGAGTCTTCTCGGATACATACGGATTGTTTTTAAGAGCATGATGTCTTTTTATGTTCGGGGTTCTTCTCGATGAACGGTGAGTACCTTTTCATTTTTTTTTTACTTTTTCGTTGTTGTTTCACGACACATTGGATTCATTACAGGCGTAGCTGTTTCTAAAAAGGAAAGTCGCAACCTTCAGGGCATACTGTATATATTATTGTCTTCATGTCTAATCAATGTTAGAACTTTCCTGGAGTGTCGCGAATCAGAGTTAAACCAAGAATTTCCCATATACCTCAGATTGCATGGAAAGAGTCTTAGCCTAGTGACAGAATGTCAGGAAGGAACTACAAATTGGCCAATAGCTCATTGTCCCCTAGTGGATGCTCCACCTCTTATTCAGATTGCATATACAAGGCGTCGGAGTCTGTGAGAACGGGAGGTAAATTGATTCTTCTGGGAGATTTAAGACAGCGCTGCCGCCTTTTCGAGTGTGAAACTCCGTTACGTCCAATATATAACATTAGTCGAAAATTAGAATATAAAGCGAAAATTTAGCCGGCACTGGAAGCTCCTCGCTGGCTTCGTAATGAAAGAAGTGGATTTTTCTGGTATCAGGAAAATTGGCGTCGTTAGGGATTGTTCCAAGAAAATGCGGCCGTTTGGCCATAAGATTTAACCTATATCTGCTCTATCTTAGAACGGAGCTTCGGAAATCAGAACAAATGCGAGCACGTGCGGTATTCTACGGAAACCGTTAGGTGAATAGAGCATAACTTGTATAAAATTGGCAAAGGCAACCCTGCTACTATTATATATATCATTTATAAAAATCACTCTACAAAAAAAACAGACATAACCTGCAGACTCAAGCGGCCGGACCATTAGGAAAGTGTTCATTTTTGGGGATCTGTCTAGCACAGCGTTCTCAGATAGATCCCAGAATAAGCAGAAGAATTCCTCAGAGTTGCTAGTATAAAAAATCCTCCAAATCACAGTTAATTAATGGAAAGCGAAATGTTTAGTTCACATAGTCGGGAGGTGCTTCCTATCCGCGATAGCTTTGATTTACCAGAACGTTGTATCCCCAAAAAAATTCCCCAAGCAAAAATATTCCAAGTTTGGAGGAAAATCCATGAAGATGACAACCCTGTCGAAGAATCGCTCGTACTCCAAGCGTCCAGTTTTGGGGCCGTTTTTACAGCACGAACAGCATTGGCTCCATCGTCATTTTACTGGCTTTAAATATTATTGAATAATTTAAAAATTTTTCGCTCACGAAGTGTCTCCCATTGATCAATATTTTAGTTTAGCACCTTTGCATTATTAATGCTGTTCAACAATTAATGGTTTCTTCTCCGTTTTCTGGATTGCTAGTTTTGAAGGAAGACTTCAACGTTGTAAGCTCTTCAATGATACTGTAATTGATCGAGGTTGTCATACATTTATCTTTGTAGTGCCCCATGGTGAAGAGAATGAACATTTTCGTGAGCTAGACAGGAAAAAATAATATTCTTTACGTATACAGAGCTTTAGCACGATTGTATACCATACGCTTAAAGATCAGGAAGTGTAAATATCCACATCGGCGAGGTGCTGGACTTTTACCAGCGAAACCAGACGTGTGACGGGCACCTTACTCCGTCCATCACTTCACGCAAACACTTTTTTCTACTAGCATGCGGACAGTACTTAAGGTAGCGTTTTCCCACACGCATAACTTTTACATCTCCACAGTCTACATCTGTGTCTGAAGCGTATATAGCCGAATCGTTAAGAAATAAAAATATACTTCCAAGAAAATACTGGAAAACAACTCAAATTTCACGTCACAATGCACAAGCAGTGCCACTTCTACAGAACGTTCTATAGAACATGGAATTTTAGAAGTAGCGACGCCGGTGGCAGTAGTTCTGCTTCGATGACGCCTACAAGTTTTCATAATCCAAATGACTGTTCTTTTACTTTTAATATTGTTAATAATTATAATAAATGAATTATTGATGCTGTTGATTTTATAATTATTGATTTTCTAATTATACATAGAAGGTATTAAAGATTCTGGATTTATTATTTTCTCGCAGATACCAATTTATAACCAAACAAATATTCATAACAATGATGTCATGGTTAAGACCAGGTTCTAAATTTTTAGAACCAGCCCGTAAGGCTGCTTCTGAATCCGGTCTGTCAGTGCTGTCACGTCTGACACGGATTTGAAGTGAATCGCAGATTATCGAGTCGGTTGTGTAATTAAAGAGAAAGAAAGTTGCTTCCCCCGGGGAATCTATAGTTATGCAAATCATTATTAACAGGTAAATACTGATCTTGTGGCTGATTTTTTCATTGCATACCTGTATATGCACCCAAGAATCTGAATTAATATTTTTCAGATTATGATTATAGGTCGCACTACATTGATGGATTCATTTGGAATCGTGGAAACAAATACCTCTCTCACTTAGAGACAATCAGTCTTAAATAAATGTTTGCCACTGCGTCCCAGATGCACGGAAGGACATTGTAGAAGATGCAGTGAAATGTTAAAATAATCTTGTAGCAAGTTATAATAATATTATTAATTTTTTAGTTTATAGCACCGACAGCTTTCCTAGAACGGCATATAGAAGAAAAGCTTATCATAAGTAAGTCTGGGAGCCACACAAAAGCAGCTCAAACGACCGCGAGGAAAAATTGTTGTTGGTCAGAATAAACTCTCAAAATTGTTTATTTTATTTTATTGATCTTTATATATACAACAATATGAGAATATTAATGTTTTATTTATGAAATTTACAACCTTATTCATATTTTTTAACTTACCCATATAATTCACCAATTATACTGTCATTATTAGTTCTAGCACTCCTATCTTCACCACTTCGACAATTCCCAATCTTACTGCTGGTTGTATACTATATCTTGGCCACGTCTTCATTTATCAAATAGAAATTATGCAAAACACAACAAGAAGTAATTATATAGACGACACCATGCAAAAGTATACACTATCTTCGTTTTAAAATATAATTATGCTTTCTTTACTTTATTTTCAGATTCTTAGTATCTCCTTGTGCTTTCAACACACAAGACAGAAGAATATATGCAAAGTCCTCAATTCCTTTATATAACGTAGAATTTATAATTCGTATTGGGATCAGCAACCTGTATATCTGGAAAATATGTATTAAATGTAAGTTCTATGCTTTTTTTAATCTTCAACTGATATTACCTACATCATCACTATCATATCACAACTTCACAACAGCTAATATTGACAATCTTGAACTCTCGTAGAGCTTCGTGCAATTTACACCTCTGAAATACAGCTAAATCCACTTGAATGTCCATGTTATTCATAAAAAATATCTGTCCAACTGTCCAAAAATTCTGTCAACTTTACGTCAACCACAACCAGAACCGCTTCTGACAAGTATTTGCTTTTTACCATTGCAACCAGGATTTATACAGGGTGACCGATACGTAATTGACTACTTTGTATCCTGAATATTTGTGAAATGAAATAAAATACGTTTTCATTCTAATCTTTCATTAAAACCTTTTAATTTCGCTGCTCAACTACCACGATTTGGATCACGTAACTTCATTTCAGACTCCTCGAAGAAATGCTGAATGAAGCGTTGCATCCAAACTGTAGGCGCATATATACAGGGTGGCCGATATGTAACTGGCTGATTTGTATCTTGAATATTTGTGAAATGAAATAAAGTATCTCCATTTTTTTCTTAATCTTTCATTGAAACTTAGAAGTCATGTATGAAAAATAATATCAGACAAATGTCCGCCTCTAGAAGCCGCGCAAATCTGAGCCCTGCTGATTACATTTCCCATCACTTTTTGTTAGGTTTCTGGAGGAATATTTTCAATCACTTCCGTAATATTGTCCTTCAGTTGCTTCACAGTATTTGGTTTGTTGGCCTAAGCCCTATTTTTCAAAATCCTCATAAAAAAAGTCAGGACCCGGTAAATCCGGTGCCCTTTTGGGCCAGTTGACATCATCAAAATTAAACGTCCCGGAAATATTGTTCGCAAAAGATTCATTGTTTCCCTAGCTGTGTGACCAGTAGCTTCGTCCTGCTGAAACCGCATGTCTTGCAGACTAAATTTTTGGATTTGAGGAGCCAGAAAGTTTTGCACTATATCACGGTAGCCCTCGCTAGTGACAGCAAGAGAATTACCTGCAGCATCTTCAAAGAAGTAAGGTTCAGTGACATCTCCATACCAAACTGTGACTCGACGCGGATGTAGTTGTCGTTGATGGTTAACCCCAGGGTTCTGTGATGCTCAGATATGACAATTCTCCTTATTAACAAATCCGTTCATATCGGAGAGGGCTTCATCGCTCATTATCAATTGCCGGTGACTTTCATGGTCACTAGGCTGTAGCTCTTGGATTAACTGAATTCCGTATGGTCGCAAATGCGAGTCTGTTTTTAAAATAGTGCCTAATGACGTGCGACGAATACCCAGTCTATGAGAACGATGTCTGGTAGACGTCTCAGGGCGCTCCACTACACTTCCACGAACTCTCTCGATATTTTCCAGAGTACGAACAGCTCGAACACCTTGACAAATCTTTAACTTCACCAGTTAGTTCAAATTTCCGCATCAAGTCACAAATGGGCACTTTATTACAACCGAGATCTTGTCACAGATTCCGAATTGTTGCAATAAGACATGTGCTTTAAACTACCACTACGGCGCCACCTACTGAAATGCGTGTATCAGAAATGGCGCGCAATTTAAGTCAGTCAGTTATACATTGGCCACCCTATATTTACATTGATTTAAACAAAATCTGGTTCACCTTTGGAGACAAATTAGGCATACTGCTGTTTCCCGATCCATCTTAGTCATTTTGCGTATACAAGCACCAACATCCAGTTTTCGCTTGTTGCAGTAGCAGCACTTTAAAAAGGCAGATTAATGTCTCCTGAGGTGGGGTGTACTGAACTTCTATGAAAATTATATGTCATTAAAAGCACAGCGAAAGCATCGACGGCTTGCATATGTTACGACACTTTAGGGAATTTAAAATAGAATTCGTGTTACGGGAAGATAATGCCTCCTGCTCGCTCGACTCGACTCCTTTCACATTATTTTATTTAATATTTTTCGAGCTGCAGGCTCGTATATCAGAATGCAGGCCCGAATAATGTGAACGGTGCATGCAACCGGTGAAAACCAGGAGGTGCAATATCCTTGCGGAGTTATTTTGTTTTTGATATACGACCGTAATCGAGGAAGTTACAGTTAACACGAACCCCAAACAGGAGTAACGAAAATATTAAGTCCGACCTTATATTTGCTCCCGTTAAGTTATACGGTTTGGCATTAGATTTACTGCTCACCCCAGTCACAGCACGCTACTTTCGGGCGAATTTTTCTGGAAAGTTTTCTTCCTTCGCCAACATCTAGCAGCAATCTTCTTTGCTTTTTCTTTTATACTACTTTCCGAAGGACTTCATCGAGGCAGTATCCTAATCTGTTTTTCACAACTCGTTGAAGACTTTTGAGGCCATTGACTGAGTGAGCTACAAGTTAATTGCAGAAGACTTCTGCTGAAACCTAAACTAAATCCAAATTCAAGATGAGATGTAAATAATAACAGTTAGCGCGGGATCTCTCGGTAACAGGTGGGGACAACGCCTCTTATTGGTCAATTCGCCATTAAATTTCAAGCGGTCGCCTGGCGGAATAATGCGCGGGGCAAGGGCAGGGCAGGCAGAGTTGCATTCAGGCCACCGACCATCGCGTGTATCACTGCGTGCTCGTGTTTTCGTATTCACCTTGCTTGGTTGTTGCTGTTGTTGTTGTTAAGTGTATTTTATGTAATTTATTAAGTTTCTGTTTGTTATTGTTATTCCTCGTTATTATTTGTTTTGAATCAATCCTGAACATATCCAGTACAGATACTGCTGACGAGGCTGTAGGCTACTCCCTTAGCCCTCCTGGAAAGCGATCAAAAAAAGACATCCTAGCGTAGACATGAAAGACGTCATATTGAATACATTCAGGATAGAGCGGAAGTAAGACGAAACATCAACTAACCCGAAAATAGCTCTGAAAGTGGAAGATAAAATTGGGGTATGCCAAGCGACAGTGTACAAAGTTTTGAACTAGCATAAGAAAGAGCATGCCTTTTCCAAGACAATGACGGGTAAAAATCGCAAAAGTATCATATGATCGTTGGATGACGCTGACAAGCATGCGATTCGGAGGAAAGTGCACGAGTTCTTCTTTATAAACGAAATACCGACAGTTGATAAACTACTACGGGAGGTTAACGAGGATGGTATGTTACCAAATTTCAAACGTTCGACCAATCATAAACTTTTGAAGCATATTAATTTCGAATGGAAGAAACGAGGTCGTAACAGCTTACTTATGGTTAGAGAAGACATTGTTCTGTGGAGGAGAGAGCACCTGACCAAAATTGAATCATTCAGGGATCAGCACAGGAAGATCTGTTACCTGGACTGAACCTAGATTAACGCTGGGCACACTACTCCGAAGGTATGGGTTGACAAAACTGTGAATTCATCCAGGAGGGCATTTCTAGATGGACTGTCGACCGGATTGAAAAATCGAGCAGGTAAATAGATCGAGGTAGTTCATTTTTATTTTTATTTTTCAGAATCGGCTGGATGGTACACAATGCCTATATCTTCTATGAAATATTTTACCAACGGCGACAACAGTATTTGCAAGTGATAACGCCGTAATTGGAATTTCTCTGCAAATTAACGGTGAGAGTACTTTTTTCTACTGTTCCACCAAACATTAGCTTTGTTATTCCAATGGTAAGAAAAGGACACCTTGTACGTATTCGGGTGAAAAATTTATGACAGAATTTAAAGCACTTACCTTATTCAAGGAAGAGCTCTACATGTTTAAGTGATATTTTCATAATTTAGCTAGGTTTCTTTCTATAAAATCTGTGAATAGCTAGTTTTATATATTCCAACAGGCTTGTCGTTTTCCCTCTGTGGATAAATGGGGAACGAATGCATAGTCCTATGACCTAGTTGGTTTGCAAGACCCCGACAAATATAATATATATGCATCCAAAAATGATATGGCCTAGAATCCCAGAACCCCATTTAAAATATAAAATACAGCAATTTAAACAAACATTTTTCGATATACAGTATCGCCATTAACACCTTTCACTCATTGGGCTTAAATAAGCCTTTTTACACTACCTCTTTGCCTTCAGGCGTGGTGGCTAGTCACAACACTAATCGTTTTGCGCCTTATTGCTTCAAAGCGAAGCACAGTCACCTAACATCAATCTCTTGGTACCACTCGAACTCTCGTTCCAGAAGAAAATTATGGTAATTAAGCTCAATAAATAAATATCATATACACGATGGAACATATACTAAGTGACATATAAATCCGAACACCCAGTTTAAATGGTTTTATTTTAATAAAATTTTGTATAAGTACTTAATGAAGCATAATAAGTAAATGATAAAAATTTCAAAATGATTGCACTGCTTTAAAGCCCTTTGACCTTTAATAATGTGTGTATGCACCCTGATGTGCTACGCATTCTCCAACGCGCCTAGGCATGCTTCTGATCAGGTGGTCAATGTCCTCCTGTGGTATCTCATTCCAGGCAACCACCAACTCCTCTCGAAGTGCTTCTAGAGCCTGAGGAGGACGTTGCAAATTGAGCAATCTCCTACCCATCATATCCCACACGTGCTCAATTGGGGATAAGTCGGGTGATCTTGGTGGCCATGGTAACAATGTGACATCATTATGTTGAAAGAAGTCTATTGTGACTCTTGCAACATGTGGTCGGGCATTATCTTGTTGGAAAGTTGGATCTGCCAGGGTGTCAAGATAGGGTAAAAGATGGGATGTTACCTCTGATGAAGATTAAAGGTGACCTGGAACCATAAGCTATAGCACCCCAAACCATAACTCCAACAGTGTGATGAACATGTCTTTCAACAAAAAACTGTGGATTCCTCCTTTCACCACGTCGCCTTCTAACCTTGGCACGACCATCGTGCATGCCTAAACAAAATCGAGACTCGTCACTTAAGACAATACTGTTCCATTCCTGATCCCAGAGTGACCGTTGTCTGCACCACTCAAGGCGATTACGTCGGTGTTCTCGAGTTAAAGGGAGGACCCAGTGTGGCAGGTATGAAAACAAGCCAAAACTTCTCATTCGTCGGTAAACACTTCGCATGCCAATAGGTCTTCCGTGTTCTGCAAACCATTCATTTGCAATGGACCTGGTAGTGGAGAAACGGTCCCTTAAGGCCAATAATCTTAGGCGGCGATCTTCACGGTCTGTTGTTCTACGGCGGTGTCCAGTGCCCCTTGCTCTTTGCGTACGGCCTTCTCGGAGCCATGCCTGACAACACCTAACCACAGTGTCTACACTTCTTTGCACTCTAACTGCAATTGCCCGAAAAGAAAGTCCAGCTTCCCGAAGTCCCACTACTTGCCCCTATCAAACTCACTAAGTTGACGAAATCGTACAGGTCTCCGTACTCTAGGCATCGTAACCGATCGTAAAGGATGTCAGGAACCAAAATCCGCCAACGTTGATTCTTTACTGCGGCTGAAATATTCATTTTTAGAGCGTTAGTGAATTAAAAAAAAGCAGTATAAAAACCGGAATGTCCAACTGATAAGGCTGAAAATTTTTTCACTTGTTATTTACAGTAAGATAAATACATTTACCAACTTTTATTAAAATAAAACCACTTAAACTGGGTGTTCGGATTTATATGTCACTTAGTATATATAGCGTACGTTTTGAAGTCAATGTTTCTTGCAGCGGTTCAAATACCAGCGTAAAAACCCGGAGCCGGAGTGTGATATCCGATATAGGTAAATGGTTCAAAAACAGCGTGTGTCCAAATGCCAGGGATTCATCGAAATATTCGTTTTCATTAATTCACATAATTAATACATCAGTATTTTTTATGATTTCCTGCAACACTCCTGTGCACAGGATTTCACACATTTTTGTCGGTAGTTTTCTTCGTTATTTTAATTCGTAGCGATAGCATAGAGAGGCGATTATAAAGAATCTAGCAAAGATTTTAACTCATAAAACGAACTCATGTGACTGTTTCTGGCCTTACATTTTTTTAACTTCCTTGTGTGCTAAGGCTGAAACAAGTGAGTGGTCAGAACAACAAGCAGAGGAACAATTAATAGTTTTTCCGTCTATTGGGAGATAATGGGATTGAGAAAAGTACTTCGTATGAATGGTAGCGTCACACTACCCATCATGACGAAATGCTGTGATGCACGTCTGTAGTGAGACGTAATGGCAACAGACTAAAGGGTTTTGCCGATTACGCCGTATTCTTGGAAAGTCTCATACTTCGGGTGAGAAATGTTGATGGGAGGAATATATCGAGCTTTTATTCCCGGATCTAAAAAAGCTTCGCCCGGTGTAAAATCATGCGGTCAAGCAGTTCAGCTTTGCACTTTCCAAGCAACGCTGTCAGCAGTTAACAGAGAATTATGTTCGTCGCAAGTTATCCCCTTTGAGAAAAGGTCCACGAACGTTTGATAAAAAATAGATCAAGTTAGTCAAACAGGCCCATACAATTTTTGCTGTTACTAACCTCGATCTGGTATCGGCGACAGTCCCAACAAGGTATCTGTCATTAACGTCTTTTGTTATGTTGCGTGTATTGGAAATATCTTTTCATCATCCTGGGTTTTTAAGGGCAAATGTACGGAAAATGTATTTTGAATCAAATGCTTTAGTAGGTGTATAGAATTACCAGAGCTGGAAACATACAGCCCCTTCAAAAAAAAATTCTCAAAATGATCGGGAGAAGCTGAATGGTCAAAAACGAACTTTTGACGATTTTCATTTTTTTTTTTCGTTTTTTGCCTCTCACTTTGCCACCACTGGTACGATTTTGAGAAACTACTTTTTTCGTCATTGGAATTGCTGTGAAATTTTTTTCGAATTCTTTGCAATTGTTCACTCGCCTGGGACATGTAAAGTAAAAGTAAACTGAGCAATTATTATCGTCTACATCGTGCATGGAGAAGAGCTTCTGGAATTTCTTGCAGTTACGGTCCACGTATTCATTCATTGGCAGTCTTGCCAGATAAGGTATAAAATCTAGAAGATCCTCTCAATCACCCCTTTGGAAGAACGTTTTTTGGCATCTTCGACAATAAGGAATGCGGAATTGTGCTACGTAAATGACAAATTGTAATAGTCAAGACAAAAATTGATCTCCCTGAAATAGTGAATATAATTTATTTGGCAGGTTGTAGTTGAATCTACATTATAAAATATCGAAAAACGTACCTATATATTATACTTTTAAACGAAAGCATTTTTGCGATTACATAACCCTGTTGATGCGTAGGAAGTGACATAGGGCCGTTACGTTTTTGTCACTCGTATCCATTATTCGGGCGCTGTTCACAAGTCTGAAATTGATTTGCCGACCCCTTCCCTCTGTAAATCCCCTAACACTCGAGTCGGGCATACCCAGCGTTGGCCGTGGTGAATGGAATCCGAACAAGAGGATATCGGCCAGTTTACACCCAGTTATTTAATGGCCATAATCAAATACAAAGCGCCCTCCTGGTGTAAATCAATCTTGTGTTCGATTGGCATGACGAGCAGAGATCAGGGTGGGGCGCAAGGGTTGCTAACATGGGCGCCGTTGAGCAAAATTTACGTACCTCCGTCCCAAAAAATGTCACTCAAGATAGAACTATACAATCTATCACCCACTAAAGTGAGAAACCATCACTTTTATGCTTTTAAAACTACTGTATGATCTTTTCCACAGAATAATGCATTCCACTTGGTCTGCGAGTATACAGATATCCTTAATTCTACTCATCATGGTAACTTTGTGACTTAATGGTTTGTTCATTTTTATGTATGTTACTTACAGGGCTACGTTCGTAGTTTGTTACAGAGTGTACTTTGTACTACTCTGTAACAATTTTAGCGTTCGTAATTATTTGACGTACATGTTACTTGCGTTCGGAAATAATAATAATAAAAACTAGTTATTTTGCCACACAATTAATTTGGAAAATATCATTTAAATATATATTGAATAACAGCGGACCTAAGACAGTTCCTTGTGGGACACCACACTTAATATACATTTCTTTACTAAATGATCCTGATATCTGCACAGATTGTGGGCGATTTGACAAATAACTTTCGATCAGTGAGTACGCGTTTCCTCTGAAACCAATTCTCTCCAATGCTTCTAATAATAATTTGTGATTAAATGTGTCAAAAGCTTTCTTTAAATCAACAAAAATGCAGATTGAAGGGATTCTGTTATCAATATTTTGATGTATTTGATTTACAATTTTAGTTATTGCGTCCGATGTAGCCTTCCCTTCTGTAAATCCATATTGATTTTCACTTAAAATTTTGAATTTTGTGAGGTATCGGATCATTCTAGTAGATAAAACTTTTTCAAAAACCTTTACTACACTGGATATTATTGATATTGGTCTATAGTTGTTAACATCTGTTTTTGTTCCTGATTTATGTATCGGTATTATATTACCTTTTTTTAAAATTGAGGGATATATGTCAGATTCAAAGCATTTGTTGATTAGGTAAGTGAGTGGTTCTGTTATGTCCTCGGCTATAATTTTCAAATGCTCGCTTTTAATACCATCGAACCCAGGACTTTTCCGATTTTTTAAGGACACAACAGTGGTGTATACTTCACATTGCTCGACATTATCCAAAATAAATGAGTTCAAAGTTCTTTTTGGAGGCTGAGTATTTTGTACATTTGCTTGTATATTACTTGCTAAATTTTCGCCTATGTCAGTAAAGAATTGTACAAATTCATATTCATTCATATTATTATAGTGGAGAAGTGGTCAGTAATATCGCTTTGTAGGATTATTGGTATACAAGTAATTTTGTTGGATAGGTCTTTCACAAAGCAGTGATCTATACATGTGCAATTGATGGACCTTGTAGGTAGGTTTATATAGGACAGAAATCCGTTACTTGATAGGATATTCAAGTATTCATTTGTGATGGGATCATCGTCCAAAATATTTATATTGACATCTCCCAAGAAAATATGTTGCTTTAAATGAACTTTATTTTGATTTTGAAAAAAAAATCAATATTCTTTAAAAACTCGTGGGGTTCTGAACATGGCGGACGATAAATTGCAGATACCCCAATTTTGTTATGGTTAATTTGGATCATTATGTTTAAAATTTTGATTCCATCGGTGAAAGTGAATGTATCATGATTATATTGCAGTTTATTTCTTACAAAAACTATCACGCCATCGTTTTGGTTAGTGCCAAAGTTATACAGCGTATCATATCCCTGCTGATTGAAGCAAGAAATATCAACCACTTGCCACGTTTCAGTTAAAACTATTAGGTCAAAATTGTACCATATTTGGTCGAGTAGTATTTTTAAGTAATCAATGTTGTGTTTTATACTCCTTATGTTCATATTAAAAATTCGAAATTTTGCATCAGAATTTTGTGTACATAAATTAAGTTCATCGACGTTTTGTGCTATATTTGTTGCAATGCTTGGAATTTGGAAATCATTAATGTATTTATTTACTGACATTTTTAGGTCCTCTTTAGAGATAGGAGTGGTAAAAGATGAACTTGAATTTTAAAAAAGTATCCTTAAGCTTTGTTGTTCCTGATAATATTTGTACGATGGACAGTTTTTGTCGGTAGGTGAGTGGTTAATATTATAATTTTTTTTTATGTCTTTCATTTCCATATCTACAGTTGCAGCATTCTATTGACACATGCTTACAATTTTCTCCTTCGTGACCGTTGCCACAGTTGGCACATATCTTCTCATTCCTGCAATTCTTTTCTGTATGATTAAAACGGTAGCATTTTCTACACTGAGAAATGTCGTTATTTTGATATACTGTCAAACATTGCCATCCCAGAAGTATTCTTCTATTATTGTCTTCGAAGATTTTTTTGAATAGCTTTCCAGAAGTTTCCGCGTAGATAGTGTAATTGTTTCTTGATGGAAAATATTTGATAAACTTTACTTGTATGTCTCCACTCTGAATCATATAATTCTGATGTATAAGATCTTCTTCAATTTGCTTTTCATTCGGTTTCTCACTACTTTTATAATTTATTATTTTAATTTTTGGATTTAACATTTTCGGCTCAGTAACTTGGTATTTTTCATTCAATTTATTTTGTAGTTCATCTTTCAGTTTATTATGGTTTGATTCATCAATTTTTATATCAATTCCGCCATTTTTTGAGTTTCTCACACTTTCTATTTAAATGTTCAGAGATGAAAGATTTATTCTCTTACTCAATTCTCTTCTCGTATTATCGCAAGATTGTTTTTCTTTTGGAATAACTGTGATGCATTTCAGTGATTGCCCTTTAGTAATAGGTATCGTTTGTTTTAAGATTTGTGCGTATGAATTTTCTTTTACTAACTGGTTTTTCTCAATTTCGTCGAGTCTCATATTAATTCTATTTAATGCTGATGCTATGGCATCCTTCTCAGTAATACTTGCGGTTACTGACAGTTGCTGCTCTTTTAGTTTTAAATTTCCGTTATTGAGCTGACGAATTATTTCCTCCTTTTCTGCTAGTGTTTTCTTCAGGGATCGATTCTCTTCTAATATCTTTTTTACATTAGTCGAATCAGGTCGATTTTCTTCATCTGTGATGCAGTTTTTTTCATTCTCGGGCTTTTCTTGTTGTTCTTCTTCCTTTTTCTTTTTGCGGGTCATGATACTCTGTATAGAAATTTCTTATGCAGTATGAATTATAAAGGACAAACTGTCAACTTGTCAATTTTACGTCACTCCGAGGTTATATAAATATGGCCGAAAACGACTGAAAACTGTAGAATCCGCTGCACCAATGTATCCAGACCCGTACTTTATCCTTATAAATGGAAACTCTTCGCCAAAAGGTTATTTCATGGACTGGGTACCAACCAAATTCTTGACAAGGTAGGACGAGATCGTTTGCTTGTTTACTACTATTTACTAAATAGAACAAATAATCCTTCTGAAACGTCAAAAGAGCGATTTTCTTCCTGAGCTCAAAACCTTGGGAATAAGAGCTCCGTCACTAGTAATTCTCTTGGTTCATTCTTTGTTTATCCTATTTGGTTTTCAAAAAGTGCTCAAAATTGGCAGAATAATATTTTTCATGATAAAGGCTACCCCGTATCCCTAGGGCCACTTATAATAATTACAATAGTCGCAGAAAGCATGGTTAGAAATTATTCGGGTGTCACCAAGTGTCATTACATGACTCTGTAATAATTTAGGCGTTCTATAAATAAGGCTACACAGTATTCTAGAGTAAAATTTCATCTGTCGATCTATTATAATTGTTTAACATTTACAAACGCACCCCAGCTGCTTTATCTTTTTTACCTAGCCAATGATAGCACATGAAGCATGTAGCTTGATACTATAACTACATAATGGCATAGGTACAACCAAAAAAAGTGAGGTGAAACCACAACAATGTCTACACCCATAGGAAATGTAAGCATATTATTGGCAGAATAAATAGTAGTTATTACATACGATCGATCTATTAATAGGTTCTTCTGATAACGAACTACTTTATCTACTAGGACGGTGAAGCAATTTTGGCGCCCGGTACGTTTAAGTTTAACTTATGTTGAACAAAGTATGGCGGAAACTGAAACTGTCCTTATCTATATTTTGATATTGACCGACATCGTGTTATATGTCTTCGGCATAACAAACGTTTATGTCGCTTGGCGTGTTAGCGACAGTTATGTACCTAGGCCTCTTTACGGCCTTGGTACATAACTATTTGTAAGTTCCTTGTAAGTAACTTTGCATCAATTCAGAATATCTCGACGTATTTTATTTCTTCATAGTGATATTAGAAAGGCAAATGGACGAGTGCAATTCGTCTCCAAAAGTAAAGAGCGGTAAAGGTGTACAATATTACAGAAATTCGAGAAAGATATCTGAAAAAAAAGTTTGGGTTACGATTTCTCGGCGTTGAAACACTTAAGTTCAATTCGTGTAACCACCGAGCATCTCCAAACTATTTATTATACTCGTATATCGTAAGGATGTCTTGTTAGTTAAGGGATTGTTATCATTGTCATGAGATTTTTAGAAAAAATACCATATTTACAACTAAAACAAGAAACATACAATATTGCATCAAAAATGAAGTGTTTGTTTTTTTTTTCATTTTATATGTTTTGCTACAGGTGTCGAGTGTTCCAGCTTTCTCCTCCCTGTTCATCTCTTGTACTGGACAAAGTCAGGGTTATATAAATAAAAAGAAAGTAAATGGATTATAAATACCTCCAGCAGCTTTTTGCTTGATAAATCCAGCAAAATATGTACTGTATGTTACATACCATCTCAATGTTCTTAAAATTATACTGGAAGTGCTAAAGCAATGTTTGGTTATTTTACACCACTTCATATACTCGCTATTCGGATGTATTTAAAAATGTCTACCAGTAAGCTTTACCGTTCGTTTTACCAAACTCAGTTTAAACGTAACAGGATTGATTTCAGAACTGAGTCAGAAATCATATTTGACAGACCCATATTTGTTTTGCTGTCTCATTTCACTCGCAAAACGAAAGCAACAAATAACCCTATAAGCCTATTCTATGAACTGTTAAATTTCCATTTCTTTTGTCAAAAACTGTGCGTGCCTAACTCTTCTCTATCTGAATTATCTCTATGGAATTGAACAGCGTTGTAACTGCGACGTATTTCTAGCGTCCATATTGATCAGTTCATCCGGTAACTAGTTTAGCGGTAATTCAATTGAATCTCATGGAAGTCAGCGGATCATAAATCGTTAAGTGTAATGAGATGCAAATGAGAAAACAGTAGCCGTCCGCATTTTCAACTTAATCTGAATCAATTTTTAAGTAATTTATGTCGCATTTAAGCCAACGAAGCAACCATCTGCTTAACCAGAGGGCTGGCATTTAGGAAGGTTGATTCCGGTAATTACTACATTTAGGCGTCAGCATAAGAGCTTCACTACAATCTTCTGGGATCGATAAAAGACGTGGGTACACAGCACTGAAAGCACAATATGACAAAATGACGTTCTTTTTGGGTTACACCTTGATAAGGTAAGAAATTTTACAATTGACAAAAAAAAGATGTCGAGAAGAATATGACTAGCTCTGACGCTTTTACGTTTCTATCAGGCAACAGTAACATATTCTGTTTCGTAAATCATCAATGTTAAAATACCATTAAACACTGCAGAAGTATATAGTATAATAGTAATACTTGTGGCGCCGGTTGCAGATCAAAACGTACTTATATAAGCAAGCTCTAATTTTTACCATAGTCATGTCAGCACATGCAATCATACAATTGAACCAGTTAGTGCAAAAGCCTAGTAAGTCTCATTCTTTTGATTTACCATGCGACAATAAAAACTGTGTCACTGACAAATAATTCAGAGTTAAAGTACTTTTTGGGCCGTTTGCACCTGATCTAACAAATTTCTGTAACATCACTTTTATTTGCAACTTTAAGTGAAGCTCAAATGTCAAAAAGATAAACCCAATATGTGTAGAGCTCAAGTTGCACATAACCTGAAAGCAAAGGGGGATATTTTTGTTCTGACTTTCACTCAAGTTCTAAAGGTTGAGGTGTGGAAATATAATTAGATGAAATTAACCTCAAATGTATATGGAATTCTGACAGTGACAATTTTTCATTCAGCGGCTTGTTTTGTAATACCCAGTTTTTTCAATGTTGTCGTTGTATTTCCCTAAGCGCTCCTTGGTCCTGGGATAATTTACCGGTGATCGGTAGTTGAAGAAATTTGTAATCGTTTCCCAGGTTACGTTCTTTATTCCTCAAGTTTGTTTTGTTTTCTGTTATATGGTTATATTCGGATACAATGTTCAGCAATAAAGATTTTTCTAGTAGGGAAAAATGATGAAATGATAAAAAACAAATCTTTAATAAATGCATATTTCACAGCCGTCTAATCTTAGAATTTCTGACACGATGATATGACAGCACAAAAGTAGGGTTCATTTGATGCGCAGTGCTTATTAAAGCTGAGTGGTATATTCAGAAAAGCCGGTGTTGGTGCTCCAAAAGATTCAAATCTCGAATAACGCTTATTTATTGATAATAATAGAAAACGCCTGAAAAACTGTTATATGCTTACGTTGTGTCAGCAGGAAACAGGTTTAGTGGTATATAATTTTGCATGTTTGAAGTAAGTACATGAGGGAACCCCGGACAAAGTGAATACAGTATGTGGAGGAAGGAATGAAGTGCGTATACAGAACACGCATCCAGCTTTAATATAGCATATTGAGTGAAAAAGATAATGACAGATTCAATGTACAACAGGTGTAGCAAAAGTAACTGAGCAATTCCGTATTTATTCAAGTGAAAAGTGTCAAGATGAAGTCTATAGGGTCTTTGAACGAAAAGTTCAATGATGACTTTTGATTTCACTTTGAGCGTCGCCTTCAAGGTTATTTCAATGTCAAATATTCTTTATTTAAATGATCAGTCCCCTTTTTAACACCGGCAGTCGAAATAACGGAAGATGTTTCGTCACAATATGCATTAAAATCTAAGGTCAGGGTCAACGCTAAATGTCAAATGGAAGTCGAATGTGTGACGTTAAGGGAGATTCCTGAAAGCTCACTAGAATTATTGATAAAAAATCTCTTCTTAGCGACTTTTATCAAGGATTTCAAGAGGATCTTTGGATTCAACCTTGAACCTCACCTTTAAAGTCACTTCAATTTTTCTTAATTGAGAACACTCCTCATTGTCATCGACAATGGAAAATTTTACGTTTTAATACGCTCTCGTGTCCTATCAGAACCTTTAAGGTAGAACACAAGGTCGAATCCAAGGTTAATACTGAAATCCTTGTTGTAAGCTACTAGAGGTATGGTCTTGATTTCTTCATCAATAACTCTGCTAAGATTTTGCCCTGGTCTCACACATTTGACTTTCATTTCACTTTTGGAGATTGAAATTGGTGAGACACTTTTTACAACCTGAAAAATATTGTTTTGCAGAGTTCCTTATTCATACATGATCTACCTAAACACACAGTGAAGTCAAGAGACTACATTCCAGTGTTATGTAGACTCTGTGAACTTGGGCTACCATCAGATGTGTTGAAGATATATGGATTAGGAATCAATCTGATATAGCAAAGGTGAACGTAGCGAAAGAAATAGATATGATAGAGTTTCCAGAATTTATGAGCAGACGCGTCAGGAATAAAATTATATAATTTCAACAGACTTTTTCGGTCGAAGAATCTTCACGAAGTTGTTCATTAATGGTTTGCAATGCTCTTGAGACATTTCTACTCTGTGTGGAATAAGAATCTATGATCTCAACAATACTTTAGAATCGAATTATTCTCGAGATAACCGTATGGGGTTCCATCAGATGTGTTAAATATTTCTGGATTAGGATTGAAACTGATACAACGAAAGTGACCATAGCAAAAGGAATAGGTATTACAGAATTTCTAGAATTATTTATCAGGAATAAAATTATACAATTTCAACTGATTTTTTCGACAGAGAAATATCTAGTAAGTTTTTCATCATAATTGGTGCGTAGTGCCCCCGAAAAATTCCAATTCTGTGCTGTTCAATAAGATTCGAGGGTTTTAGGTGAATCTAATTTTCCAGCTCAGAGCCAGATTAGGTTGAATATGTAGTTTTCACACAATTGAGTTTGAAACATTTTTCCAGTATTGTTCTGTATGAAACTTGATTATGAAGATGATTAGTGCCGTAACTTCCTTATTATTACAGCTAGGAGAACGCTCCAAGTAGCAAACGAAAATTCACAATATTATCATAAACTTAACGTATAAAGCTCATCTGAGGCAAAAATGGACTCTACCCAGTCTGGCTTTGAGGAACAGATTTATTACTGCAATAACCATAATTATTTCATTTTCTTCGCGAGAGCCAATGACACTCATTTTCGTTGGTCTGTCATTCGTGCATACCTTTTACTTAGATTAGGAGAAATGTAAGTACGAAAAATTCGAAGTTTGGATAATTATTTGTTGCATGTTGCATTACTCCTTGATTAAAAAACTTATCGCTCTTTCCAGCTGGTTGGTCTGTTTGACGTTGTATTTGTCTGTCCGACAAATTTTGTACTGACTCCTTCATGAGTCGAAAGTTCCAATTTCTGTATGAAGGTTCTTTTCTAGAGCAATAGAGAAAAAATTAGAGGGGGGCAATTTGGGGCCAATTTATAGCGAGATACCCTGTGCTGTTCATATTTTGATGAAATTATAGTTTTATGCTAAGGGTTGAACAGCTAAGCCAATTTTAAAATTGCATAGCGAAGTTCTAGAGGCTCACTGGAATTTAAAAAACTGAACCTCGTTCTTTTATTAGTCTCAATATTCGTGTTGCATCACTCATCTCGGTCAATTATATTTACGCTAGTGCCAAAAAGGACCTGTATTAATCACTTAACTCTATCTTGTTGAATCAGTATATTTTCAGTAAGTACCTCACTTTTGTCAAAACTTGGGGAGTGGCATATTGATAGTTATATCAAGATATATTGAACTCGGCCGAGTTACTGGTAATGGAACTAAGATATTCCCTAATATCCCAAAATTTCTTCTCTCTTGTTCTCCGTCATTTTGTAATGAAATGAATTGGATATTTTCTGGAACCCGTATCTGTTATTTTTTCCGAATATTCCAAGCTCCAAATCTTCTTAGTCAGAGTTGTAACCGCAGAGAAGCAAATACACTAAAGTCAGGATGAAAGTGCATCAACAAAAAATGCATTCGGTACCAAAGGAAGAGCATCTTAGAGTTCAGTGATGAGCTAAACAAGAACTTTTAACACTTTTACCTCTTCCAGCTCTTGGTCTATCGAGCTGCGGTTCGCAACTGTTTTCTCATTTACATCTCATCCCCATCCAATTTATAATTCTTTAACTTCGATGACTATCAATTGAATTATCGTTAAACCGTTTCGGTACAGGAATAAAATGCCAAAGAAGAAAGCGGGTTTGGCGTAGACTGAAATTTACATATTTTTTACGTTGCCCTGTTTAATTTTGGATTAACAGCATAGTGAATTAGTATCGATTTTGTTCATGTTTCCGTGAAACATAGTATCAGATGTATAACCAGCAACTTTGGCTCGCTGAACGGATTTGAAAAAAGCTGCAAATGCGATTTGGCTTACTGAAAGAAAATGTTATTGTAGTCACATATCCATAAGTAGTTCGTCAATGTCATAGTAGAACAGGCTAAATATACCGGGTGTTCCAAATTCAACCCTCATCATAGGGACATCGGAAAATATAAGGAACACGAAGTCGCTTAAATTGGCGCAAAGTTGCGTATT